TTTGATTCGTTCCCATATCTGAAGTGAAATCCAAAACTCAATTTAAGATCCTTTGAGAATCCGTCTGTGTGTAGTAGCATTTTAACCCCATTCTCACAATCTTAAATGACGAGGAAAGTCTTGTCTTACGAACTTATGAAAATCTGTCTGTGTCGTGGGTTTTTTTATTCAAGTTATTGGGAAAATCTGTCTTGCGATCTTGGGAAATCCGGAGACCTGATCCTCTTTGAAGGGATTTTCAGCTCAAGATTTATTGTTAATCCTCTTAAGTCTCATTTATCCATTATTACACCCCCCCCCTCCTGTTATCCTTCCCTCCTCTCTTCCCTTCTCCTCCGTCTTACCACCAATTACCCTCTTTCTTCCACCTCTGCGTGTATCTGTCCCTTCCGCCATTTTTACGATGGTTGGTTTTCATAATGATCAGAGAGCTGAGACACTGTAGGAGGGTGAGAGAATAGCCTTACCCAGCCTCTTTTACACTTTTTATAGGAGTCTTCGCTGTGTACCATTTAAGGAGCTATGGTGAAGCAGCTGAGCAAACCAATAATAATTTTACAACTATATGCCAGACGCTCCCCCAGCTTGACATAATGTGTCTTCCACCTTGCCTACCAGACCCCTCACCCAGGACTTAGTGCAAGAATTTAATGTTGCTTGGTGCCTGGACAAACTCAGGGTCAAGAGCTCCACCACTCCTATTGACTTACCAATGAAGCTCTACAAGGAGTTCTCCCGGAACTAACTAAACCCCTCTGCTCCATTATCAATGCTTCTCTCAGTCAAACAAGATGTCACCAGTACGCTACCTCAACGGGCCCACAATCCTTAAATGGGTGACCCATTGCCGTCACTCCAATACCCAGTCTGATCTGTTAGAATCTCGTTTTTTACTTGGCTTATGCTGATATTTCTGGCACCATAGATACATAGCAATTGGGCAACATGAAAACTTCCGTCACCCAATGTTTCGTCTGCCTTCTCGATTACTTATACCACAACCTAGAAAAACGTAAGATTTGTGTGGCTTCCGCCATCAATGACTTCACCAAAACATTCGACGTAGTCAGTCATAACTTAATTATCAATAAAGTCATCGACCTCTGGTTTCTGGGAAAGTTTCATACCATAGCTCACAGACTTCCTTAGTTACCGACGCCAGGCTGTATGCCTTATCAATGATGCCCTGAGGGATATCATTGGAATCAGTGTGAATAACTCGGCTCCCGACTACAGCGCCCTTCAGAATATATTGAACAGTCTCCCAAATTGGGCCACCACCACCAGCTAACCATACTATCCACTCTTCCTTCCATCGTATTTGGCTCCAACACACTGCAGGTAATGGACTCCACCAAGCTCCTTGACGACACTATAACAAACTCAATTGGAAAACACACGTCAGTGCAATTGTCAAATCTTACTCCTTTCGTCTCCACATACTCCACCGTCGGAGTTCACGCACCTGAGCTCTTGATTGTTTACTCAACATTCGATACTCCCTAAACTCCCCTAAGCTTCCCCTGCTTGGTCTTCCTCCTTAAACTTACCATACCACTGACTGATGTTGGTCTGCTTCAGGTATTGCAGCTTGGTTGGGTAGTAAGACTTTTTTGCAGTGCGTATTTCACGGATGAGTTTCTTACTAAGGGCACTTCAGCAGTTGTTGTTTCTGCTGCATAAGTCTTTTGATTCGAGGTGTGATCCCAGGCAGGCCAGCTGGGTGTAATCTGACGGACCTCTCAGGGAAGAAGTAGTGGTGGTGATGTAATTTGTCTATTTGGTATCTACGTCATCTACACTTAATACTTCAATATACGTGTGTGTGTGTGTGTGTGTGTGTGTGTGTGTGTGTGTGTGTGTGTGTGTGTGTGTGTGTGTGTGTGTGTGTGTGTGTGTGTGTGTGTGTGTGTGTGTGTGTGTGTGTGTGTGTGTGTGTGTGTGTGTGTGTGTGTGTGTGTGTGTGTGTGTGTGTGTGTGTGTGTGTGTGTGTGTGTGTGTCTGTGTCTGTGTCTGTGTGTGTGTGTGTGTGTGTGTGTGTGTGTGTGTGTGTGTGTGTGTGTGTGTGTGTGTGTGTGTGTGTGTGTGTGTGTGTGTGTGTGTGTGGAGGACTGGGACTGGTGTGCTTAGGGCTTTAGAAGATAAAGGTCAGGGAGAAAATGGCTACAACAAGATTAAAGCTTTAGGAGGATAATGACTCGAGAAGGAAACATTAGTCATTAAACTTTGGCCTCAGTTCAGTGTCCGTCTAGTCTTAGTTCCAAGGGGAGGGGCAGTGTTCCAGGGGAGGGGCAGTGTTCCAGGGGGAGGGTAGTGTTCCAGGGGGAGGGGTAGTGTTCAGGGGAGGGGAGGCAGTGTTCCAGGGGAGGGTAGTGTTCAGGGGAGGGTAGTGTTCCAGGGGAGAGGCAGTGTTCAGGAGAGGGGTAGTGTTCCAGGGGAGGGCAGTATTCCAGGGGTAGGGGCAGTGTTCCAGGGGAGAGGTAGTGTTCCAAGGGAGGGGCAGTGTTCCAGGGGAGGGGCAGTATTCCAGGGGTAGGGGCAGTGTTCCAGAGAGGCAGTGTTCCAGGGAGGGCAGTGTCTCCAGGGGAGGGCAGTGTTTAGGGGTAGGGGGCAGTGTTCCAGGGTAGGGGTAGGGGCAGTGTTCCAGGGGAGAGGCAGTGTTCCAGGGGGGAGAGGCAGTGTTCCAGGGAGGGGCAGTGTTCCAGGGGGAGAGGGCAGTGTTCAGGGGGGAGAGGCAGTGTTCCAGGGGAGGGCAGTGTTCCAGGGCAGGGCAGTGTTCAGGGGGAGAGGCAGTGTTCCAGGCTTCAAAGAGGTGGCAGGAATCAAGAAGTGGGCGGAGGTGTGGGAAGGTAGGTGGCAGCCTGGGTGGAGGAGTGGCTGAAAAGTGGAGGAGAGGAGGAGTGGATGAGGGGTGGAGGGGGTGCTGGAGAGTCGCCAATAACAGCAGTGTTGCAAGTGAGTCCCACCCACCAGTCCGACACAACCTGTCCTGACCTCCTTTACTCCCTCCTCCTCCCTCCCCCTCCTCCCTCCTCCTACTGCCTGGGGTTTAATATTCGCTAGTAGAGGTTGTTGTGGGAGGCTTGTCATGTGGCATTAAATCTTGAGGAGAGTTTTAACTAGCTCTCTCTCTCTCTCTCTCTCTCTCTCTCTCTCTCTCTGGCGATATGTAGTCAAGGTGATAAGTATTTACGGTAGATAACAAGTCACGGTAGATAACAACTCGGTAGATAACAACTCGCGATAGATAACAAGTCACAATAAGGGAGAGAACGAGAGCAAAAGACAGACCGAAAGAGAGACAGGAGACAGAAAGAGATAAAGCATAGAGGACGATAAACACAGCAGACAGACAAACAGGAAAAGTGAGAGAGAGAGAGAGAGAGAGAGAGAGAGAGAGAGAGAGTGAAGTAATCTACATTCTGAAGGTGTGTGTGTGTGTGTGTGTTCGGCACCTCGTCTTGATGCCCAACAACTAGCTGAAGAGGGTCGAGTCAGACTCCCTCGGGTCCTCTCCGTCAAATTATCGGGGAATCCTTTGGGGTATTTCGTTGCCGGGTGCTGCTACAACAGGCTGAGGGGGTGAGGGCTGGTGTGTCATGAAGAGGGCTACTGTCATGGGGTGAGGGCTGGTGTGGCCAGAAGAGGGCTACTGTCATGGGGGAGGGCTGGTGTCGCGAAGAGGGCTACTGTCATGGGTGAGGGATGGTGTGTCATGAAGAGGGCTACTGTCATGGGTGAGGGATGGGGTGTCATGAAGAGGGCTACTGTCATGGGAGGGATGGTGTGTCATGAAGAGGGCTACTGCTGTCATGAAGATGGCTACTGTGAGGGATGGTGTGGGTGAAGAGGGCTACTGTCATGGGGGAGGGCTGGTGTCATGAAGAGGGCTACTGTCATGGGTGAGGGATGGTGCCATGAAGAGGGCTGTCGCGGGTGAGATGGTGTGTCATGAAGAGGGCTACTGTCATAGGGGTGAGGGCTGTGTGTCATGAAGAGGGCTACTGTCATGGGTGAGGGATGGTGTGTCATGAAGAGGGCTACTGTCATGGGTGAGGTATGGTGTGTCATGAAGAGGCTACTGTCATGGGGTGAGGGATGGTGTGTCAGAGGGCTACTGTCATGGGGTGAGGGATGGTGTGTCATGAAGAGGAGTTACTGTCATAGGGTGAGGGATGGTGTGTCATGAAGAGGGTTACTGTCATAGGGTGAGGGAGGTGTGTCATGAAGAGGGCTACTGTCATGGGTGAGGACGGTGGTCATGAAGAGGGGGTCATGGGGTGAGGGATGGTGTGTCATGAAGAGGGTTACTGTCATAGGGTGAGGGATGGTGTGTCATGAAGAGGGCTACTGTCAGTGGGGTGAGGGATGGTGTGTCATGAAGAGGGTTACTGTCATAGGGTGAGGGATGGTGTGTCATAAGAGGGCTACTGTCATGGGGGAGGGATGCTGTGTCATTAAGAGGGGTACTGTCATGGGGTGAGGGCTGCTGTGTCATTAAGAGGGCTACTGTCATGGGGTGAGGGCTGGTGTGACGGAATAAGGGCTGGTGGTATGATGATGATGATGATGATGGTGATAATTGTAGTGGTGGTGATAATGATGATGATGATGATGATGATGATGATGATGATGATGATGATGGTGAGAATCATTACCTCTCGCTCTTTTGTGTGTGTGTGTGTGTGTGTGTGTGTGTGTGTGTGTGTGTGTAGAGCTCAGTGGTGTTGACAAGGGGCGGACCGATCAACTGATGCCTTTGTCAACATCGCCTTGTGAAAGACTGGAGATGGCAGGTTCGTTATGACCCACAAAAGCTGTTTCTTCCGCTACTGAGATCTTATATATATATATTTTTTTCATTCTGACGTGCTGAAGGGGAGAGAGAGAGAGAGAGAGGCGTTCACCGGACAGGTCATCACCCTTGTGTTTCTTAAGCTCTGTATCTATCTTCTCCTCCTCATGCGTGTTTCTCACCTCAGTATCTCTCCCTCCAACAGGTGGTAGGGACGTCTCGAGGCGGCGGAGGCGAGGAGGAAGGTGGCGGTGACGGGGTCAAGTTCGGGTGGGTGCAGGGGGTGTTGGTCCGCTGTCTGCTCAACATCTGGGGAGTCATACTCTTCCTCAGGCTCCCATGGGTCGTCGGCCAGGCGGGAGTGCGTGAGTATACTGTACTACACCTCTCTCTCTCTCTCTCTCTCTCTCTCGTAAAACAACCACAGAATTTCCCTCATCAGATCTATGTTACAAATAAAATCACTCTCCTCCTCCTCCTCCCCTGTTTATTGATATTCTTCCTGCTCCTCCCATTAGCGTCACACGTCACCCCAAGTCTTCCATCTCATCCCTCGCGTCTCCTCAGCCACCATCTGGGGGGGGTCAGGTTACTGTGTTTTGGTCCTCAGTGGAACATTGTGGGATTCTCAACCTGTCTTTGTTTATGCTGTTTTATTTAATTTATTCTTGTGTTCGTCTTATTCTCTTTCTTTTTTTCTTCTTTTTCGGGGGGGGGGATTATTTTATTTTTTATTTTTTTAATTGATTTTTGAGGGGAAGCTTCTGTAATAATAATAATAATAATAATAATAATAATAATAATAATATTTCTTGTAAACACTCACAACATATTTTACTGTTAACCATCTTATTGTTTACTCCACTTATTAATGTTCTTATACACGTAAACCAGTTTTTTGTTTGCACCATCATTGCCTTTAAACCATTTCTTGTTGACTATAAGACAAATTAACTGTACCGTAGACGTGTGGCACCATTGCACAGTATAACACGTGGCACCACTGTTTTTGTTGACAGTCGAGGCCCTGTTGATCGTGACATGTGGCAACGTTGTCACCACCATCACCGCCCTCTCCATGTCAGCTATATCCACTAATGGTCAGATCAAAGCAGGTGAGTTATATATCTCTCTCTCTCTCTCTCTCTCTCTCTCTCTCTCTCTCTCTCATAGGTGGTCAAGGGGGTAGAGAGAGAGAGAGAGAGAGGGAAGCATTGTTGTATACTTAACCAATTGTACACATTAAGACACACACAAACACACACTCATAGTGCCGCCTTCACCTCCTGTCCCCCACCTATGTATACAGTACAGTTCCCTCCACTCCCTCCTTCAACAGTGAACTTGGTATCCCTGAACAGTGTGTCCACGCCTTAAAGTATCCCCAGGCCAGCGAGGGTGTCAGTAACAGTGTATCACAAACCTCTGTTGTACTCGTGTTGAGAGTCTGAACCAGAGTACAGGGTGTACCATCTGACACTTGTGACACACTACACTATATGAACTGTGTGGCGTGGTGAGGGGGATACATACACCATCTGACACTTGTGACACACTACACTATATGAACTGTGTGGCGTGGTGAGGGGGATACATACACCATCTGACACTTGTGACACACTACACTATATGAACTGTGTGGCGTGGTGAGGGGGATACATACACCATCTGACACTTGTGACACACTACAATTATATGAACTGTGTGCCGTGGTAAGGGGATACATACACTATTTGACACTCTAGACACACTACACTATATGAACTGTGTGGCGTGGTGAGGGGGATACATGCACCATCTGACACTTGTGACACACTACAATTATATAAGAACTGTGTGGCGGTGAGGGGATACATGCACCATCTGGACACTTGTGACACACACTATATGAACTGTGTGGCGGTGAGGATACATACACCATCTGGCACTGTGACACACCACACTATATGAACTGTGTGGCGTGGTGAGGGGATACATGCACCATCTGACACTTGTGACACACTAATTATATGAACTGTGTGCGGTGAGGGGATACATACACCATCTGACACTTGTGACACACTACACTATATGAACTGTGTGCCGTGTGAGGGATACATACACCATCTGACACTTGTGACACACTACACTATATGAACTGTGTGGCGTGGTAAGGGGGATACATACACCATCTGACACTTGTGACACACTACACTATATGAACTGTGTGGCGTGGTAAGAGGGATACATACACCATCTGACACTTGTGACACACTACACTATATGAACTGTGTGGCGTGGTAAGAGGGATACATACACCATCTGACACTTGTGACACACTACACTATATGAACTGTGTGGTGTGGTAAGAGGGATACATACACCATCTGACACTTGTGACACACTACACTATATGAACTGTGTGGTGTGGTAAGAGGGATACATACACCATCTGACACTTGTGACACACTACACTATATGAACTGTGTGGCGTGGTAAGAGGGATACATACACCATCTGACACTTGTGACACACTACACTATATGAACTGTGTGGCGTGTAAGGGGGATACATACACCATCTGACACTTGTGACACACTACGCTATATGAACCGTGCGTGGTGAGGGATACATACACCATCTGACACACTCCCCAGACACACCACTATATTTTAGAACTGGTGTGGCGTGGTGAGGGGGATACATACACCATCTGACACTGTGACACACTACACTATATGAACTGTGTGGCGTGGTGAGGGGGATACATACACCATCTGACACTTGTGACACACTACACTATATGAACTGTGTGGCGTGGTGAGGGGGATACATACACCATCTGACACTTGTGACACACTACACTATATGAACTGTGTGGCGTGGTAAGGGGGATACATACACCATCTGACACTTGTGACACACTACACTATATGAACTGTGTGGCGTGGTGAGGGGGATACATACACCATCTGACACTTGTGACACACTACACTATATGAACTGTGTGGCGTGGTGAGGGGGATACATACACCATCTGACACTTGTGACACACTACACTATATGAACTGTGTGGCGTGGTGAGGGGGATACATACACCATCTGACACTTGTGACACACTACACTGTACACTTCGTTATAGTTGAAAGTAACATTACTGTTGTCCAAAGCTGTTTGGAGCCAACAATGTTTGTTGAAAAACACTATTGCGATAAGGAGAGACCTTCGACTCACACCCTTCTACTCGCCCGCACTCCTTACATAGTTTACACTGAGTTAGTTTACATTATCTTCTTGGTACATGTGATGCAATTATAGTTAGAACAAAGATTTACGGGGGCCCTACTGATTCACTATCATTGACATCCTTCTCTCGGCGTTGTCCCTAACCCATCTCACCCTCCCACCACACTAAGACTCCCTCCCCATACTCCTCTCCCTCACACTAAGACCCCTGACCCCCACCCACACACACTAATACCCCCTCACCCATCTCCCCTCCCACACTAAGACCCCTGACCCCCACCCACACACACTAAGACCCCCTCACCCATCTCCCCTCCCACACTAAGACCCCTGACCCTCCCCCACACTAAGACCCCTCACCCATCTCCCCTCCCCACACTAAGACCCCCTGACCCTCCCTCCCACACACTAAGACCCCCCTCACCCATCTCCCCTCCCCACACTAACACCCCCTGACCCACCTCCTCTTCCTCAGGTGGGACGTACTATATGATCAGTCGGTCGCTGGGGCCTGAGTTGGGAGGTGCCATCGGCCTCCTCTTCTCCTTGGCCACCGCCGTCGCCGCCTCCATGTACGTGGTGGGCTTCTGCGAGTCCCTCAATGACCTGCTGGGGTCACACGGGCTCCAGGTCATCGATGGAGATGTGAACGACGTGCGGTTGGTGGGCAGCATCACCCTCGTCGTCCTGTTTGCCATTTGTGTCATCGGCATGGAGTGGGAAGCCAGGGTGAGTAGTACGACGGATTACCTGACGACTAGACACCCAACCGTATTTAACCTAACCTAACCTAAACAATCCTTGGCTCATCTAAACCTAACCTAATGAATCATAATCTTACTTACCCTAACCAAACCTAATCCCCCAGATAGTATTAGGGGGGGGGGGTTAATCTTCAAGTGAAATAAGCTGGGGTGGCTAATCCTCAGGTGACCCTGTTCAACTCACCGTTACACATGATGCCAATAACCTCATCCCAGGTGGCATTGTGAGTGAATGAGGTGCCACAGCATACCCAAGGTGCCACAGTATACTCGATATACCTCTGACTTAACGGTGATCCAGGTCAAAGCTATGGTCCTGGTAGTAATGACGAGTTACTTGGTACTAGTCAACAGGTAAAACACCTAAACTTATTGCTAACATTACACTAAACAAGTAAATACGTCAAATACAAGTCGATTTTTAAACATCATTTAGGTATGTACTGTAATCATAACATACTACTTCATACTAACACTTATATCACCAGCAGACGAATATAATGGTGTTATTGGTGCAGGATAGACGGTGTTAGCGCCTCAGTACAACACATGGAAACACTAATAATGTTTGATACAGGCGCAGGTGGTGTTGTTGGTGCAGGATAGACGGTGTTAGCGCCTCAGTACAACACATGGAAACACTAATAATGTTTGATACAGGCGCAGGTGGTGTTATTGGTGCAGGATAGACGGTGTTAGCGCCTCAGTACAACACATGGAAACACTAATAATGTTTGATACAGGCGCAGGTGGTGTTGTTGGTGCAGGATAGACGGTGTTAGCGCCTCAGTACAACACATGGAAACACTAATAATGTTTGATACAGGCGCAGGTGGTGTTATTGGTGCAGGATAGACGGTGTTAGCGCCTCCAGTACAACACATGGAAACACTAATAATGTTTGATACAGGCGCAGGTGGTGTTGTTGGTGCAGGATGTGTTAGCGCCTCAGTACAACACATGGAAACACTAATAATGTTTGATACAGGCGCAGGTGGTGTTGTTGGTGCAGGATAGACGATGTTAGCGCCACAGTACAACACATGGAAACACTAATAATGTTTGATACAGGCGCAGGTGGTGTTATTGGTGCAGGATAGACAGTATTAGCGCCTCAGTACAACACATGGAAACACTAATAATGTTTGATACAGGCGCAGGTGGTGTTGTTGGTGGTGCTGGTGGTGGCCATCGTCGACTTCGTCATCGGGGTCTTCGTGGGCCCTCTCAATGATGACGAGCTCTCCAGGGGCTTTGTTGGCCTTAATGGTTAGTAGTGCCAGATAGAGAGAGAGAGAGAGAGACTTCCTTCTCTCTTATCCTTCCTCTTCTTCCCTCCTATCCTCTGTTTCTCTTCCTACTCCTTCCCTTCGTCTTTAACCTCGCTATTTCTCCCTCCTATACCATCCACCCTCTCCTTCCAACTGTACCTCCTTATTAACTTCCAGTAGTCTTGTAAACCCCTTGTGTACCAGCCAGGATTCTATAAGCACAGGTGTACAAGGACTTGCTCCCTTGAGTACGAGGACCTTAAATCCCCGGTACTCGGGAGATTAAGAGTCCTCCTATTGAAGGGGATAAGGTAAATTTCCACCTGGGAAGGAGAGACGCCCCACCTAAGGCAGAACACGTCTGCTTCCCCTCGTGTACCTCACCAACCAGCCACGACCACAGCTGAAATTTTGGATCACCTGAAGATTAGCCTCTCAGCTTAATTCACCTGATGATTAAACACCTCTAACGCTACCTGGAGAGACTAGTTTAACGTTAGGTTAGGATACATTAAATTGTGTTAGGTTAAGATAAGTTAGCGTTAGGTTATGCTATATTATATTTTGTTAGGTTAAATTAGTGTTAGGTTGTGTAATCATCAGGTGAAAATAAGCTGTTGCGGGGTAGTCTTGAGGTGGTCCGTTAAGTGCCTGTCTCCCACCATTAGGGTCGGTGCTGGCGGAGAACCTGTACTCGGACTACCGTAGTGAGGGGCAGGAGGCGGACGGGGAGCAGCACCAGGGCTTCTTCACCGTGTTCAGCGTGTTCTTCCCCGCCTGTACTGGTATACTGGCTGGTGCTAACATCTCCGGTGACCTCAAGGTGTGTAGCGGCGACAGAGAGAGATAACCAGAGTGAGAGAGAGAGAGAGAGAGGATAAAAACAATTAGTGAAATGGAAATATTGTTCGACTTCAGTTATGAATGTACAGTATTGAAAACCTACATATGTGTGTGTGTGTGTGTGTGTATATTATGAAGGATTCCTCACACCTCCTCCCTCTCACAGGATCCCTCTAATGCCATCCCTAAAGGCACCCTGTTGGCCATATTGGTGACGTACGCCTCCTACCTGGTCATATTGGTGCTGTCTGGCGCCGTGATGGTCAGGGACGCTACGGGGAATGTCACACAGGCTGCTAACTGGTCCTTCACTAACTGTACCGACACAGTCTGTGAGTACGGACTCGTGAACAGTTCTCAGGTGAGTGGTGTGGCCAGCTGGGTGGTATGGTCACCTGGGTGGTGGGGTCAGGTTGGTGGTGTGGTCAGCTGGATGGTGTGGTCAGCTGGGTGGTGTGGTCAGCTGGATGGTGTGGTCAGCTGGGTGGTGTGGTGACGTGTAAGCAAACAATGAAGCACGTAAACAATTATATCCCGGGAGAAATGTATAAACAAGTCTACTGAAAACCACCAGCAGCTATTTTCTATGAGGTGTCTTGTCTACAGTTCCATATATTGCAATGTATAGACGTGATCCAAGCTGCCGTGTCGTGTATATAACCAGTAAGTGAATTTGTACCCAAACTGGAGCTAAAATAAATTCCTATATTGCAACATCAAGGGATATTCGTCCGTACTAAAGCAACATAAACTGTCTTTTGTCGTATATTTCAACATAGCTTCTTTTTCCACACTCCTGGACGAACAAACTTTATTCCCTGTGGTGGTGTTCTCCCTGATGCTGGACCTACATCCTCCCTCCCTCCCTCGTGTGTTACAGAAAGAGTGTACACTATCGTTCTCCTCCCTATACAACCTATTGCAGAGATAAGAAAGGTCTGGTAGTTACTGTGCATCCATCACTGTGATCAGTTTGTTCCCTTCCCATATAAGTATCGTTGACGGGGGACTCTTATGGTTTACAGACATAATATTGTCTCAACTCACATTAATCTGAGATACAGACTTAACTGACAAATGTCTGAGACGGAAGATGTCCCGCACTTCTCTTCCTGAAGACAATGTAAGAGTCCCACATCTAATACTCTTGTGCATTATTGCCTCAGTTGTCTCACTGTTAGGGACCTCCTACCATAGGGAGTCACTGATCACACCGTGTCACCCTTTACTTGTACCTGATGACTCAGCTGTACTGTACTACTGGCACGCTGCCCACACTAGAGGTTCTCTTGTTGTCCCCTCAACTTTCTCACCATTTGGGAAAAGTCTGCTTGTTAACTATATAACAATTGACTTGTCTTAAGTTGTGATAACTTGTGGTTCTCTGATAAGTTCCCCTCGCTTCGGCCGTAATTAATTAACTAAAAAAATCTGCATTTACATTATTCTCAAACAATACAACATGATCTTCCTTCCTCCACACTGCAACATGGAACACCTTTAAACCAAGTAACCACTGTTCTAGGTTCACCCACTGTAACATAATACAAAGATAGACGAGAGAAGAGGTCATTACAGAAACATGAGTCACACCAGAATTTTTGTGTGTGAGAAGATTGCATTACATGTTAAGTGAGCCTTGACTCAGCTGTAATAAACCTCCCGTCCTAATGTTAATATTATGATGGATGTTGTAAATAATAATAATACAATGGTAAGAGCAACACGTTGATCTGGCAGGTGATGGAGCTAGTCTCGGTGTTTGGTCCACTGGTGTATGCTGGCTGCTTCGCCGCTACGCTCTCCTCCGCCCTCGCTTCCATCGTCTCTGCCCCCAAGGTGTTCCAGGTACCGTATTGACTCTACACTACTGTACCTTACCTAATGTATGCAGTGATGATGATGATAAGAAACGTTAATAATATGGCCCTACATGATCATGAAAGTGTTTGTCTTCCCCAGGCACTGTGTAAGGACCGCCTGTACCCATACATCCAGGTGTTCGGTAAGGGCTACGGCAGGAACGATGAGCCTTACCTTGGCTACGTCCTCGCCTTCATAATCATCCTCCTCTTCACCCTCCTCGGTAGGTCGGCCTTGAGGCGCAGAAGACTCGCTTTTTCTTATCTTCTTAAGTTTACGTTTGATATGTTAAAGGAATCAAAGATCACCTGAAGATTAAAGCCTCAGCTTATTTCACCTTAAGTTAACTATTCTAACGTTGACCTGACATGACCTGACCTAACATAACGTACTATAACATAACATGACCTAACCTAGCCTATCGAAACCTAATGTAACCCAAAGCAATCTAACTCAACCTAACCTAATATATTCTTGCCTAATCCAACCTTTCCTACCCCCTCCAAGGAAGCGTTAGGGTGTTTAATCGCCAGGTGAACTAAGCTGGTGTGCTGAAGTTCAAGTTAATCCGAGGAAACTAACACAGAAATTGAGAAAAAACTAATTCATTAAAATTATTAAATATCTAACAAACTACTGATAAACTACTACTGTATGTTGGAAAATGAAACAGTCAAAAAGATATATTTTAACATAATCTGATGAACAATCCTCAAAAAAGTATCGTAAAATTTTCCGTATTAACAATTTAAAACGTTGGATGAAATGTTTTAACATATTCTCCTGCTCAGTGCCATGTGTTGGTATACCTGCTTGACGGTATTCAACTCAATACAATATTTATACTCATAATATAACAGTCGTAATAAAACTTCATTGGTCATTTTGAAATCTTGGCAGTTGTCATTTCGAAAAATATACCATATAATATGATAATAGTACATAGAGGTGTATACCATTACCTATCGTACCAACTATTCCCAAACTAGTAGACTAACGTTGCTCACAAGACTACCAAACATAATTGAATCTAGGGGTCCCGATACTTTTGGGGGGGGGGGGGTGACTTTTAAGTGTAGTGAGTTTGTGGTGTAACTTCCGCCTGTTACAGAGGTGTGTGGAGGACTGTTGGGGAGTACTTGGAGACGGGCTTTTGTCAGAGTGGGTATTAACACTGTGAATAAGCTTTATATATCCTTGTTACCACCTGCATCACCAACATCTCCTCCTTAACCATCCAGTTCCTCCTTCCCCTCCTCTTCTTCCATCTCCTACACCTCTTCCTCCTGTACCTCCTCCTCCTCCTCGTCGTAAATCATCCATTCCCTCCTTCTCCTCCTCCCTCAGCTCGCCTGGATTCCATCGCGCCCATCATCACCAACTTCTTCCTCGCCGCTTACGCTCTCATCAATCTCTCCACCTTCCACGCCTCCCTCCAGCACATACCCAGCTGGAGGCCCACCTTCAAGGTAACGCTCCACTTCCAAGTACGAGTATATCATGATTTTGTCTCTCTCTCTCTCTCTCTCTCTCTCTCTCTCTCTCTCTCTCTCTCTCTCTCTCTCTCTCTCTCTCTCTCATAGTTAATTCCATTACCTTCACCTATGAATCTCCAATAATCTATCTATCACCTGTTCGTCTCAGCACCGTCACAGGTACAATGGTTGGTATAAATGTATCTAACAACCAAACCTCTTTTACAACTGAATAGGGACGAAATAGATGCAAAACACACACACACACACACACACACACACACACACACACACACACACACACATCACTTTATAGTCTATTATTATTATTATTATTAAATATCTAAGTCTTGTGCCTATTCCATCATCAGCCGGTTGACATTGAGGTGTGACTGACTAGTGAATAATTAATTAAAGTGAATATGTGTACACTAGCTGAGGTTAGGTGTTGTTGTGTGTGTTGAGGTAAACATGAGCAAGATATTGATTTTCTGTCGCACCTTGAGGGACATCCGTTACTCATAAGGTTCGGTTGGCTGAGCGTTGAGTTACCTGTGTGTGTGTGTGTGTGTTTTGGTATAAAGGTGTGTAACAAGATTCGTAGATTAATGCTATATGTGTGATGATAAAATAAAACTTTGAGAATAAGTGAAATAATTGTTCTTGCGTGAATTTAAGAGAACGTGTTAATGTTACTTGTATCTGTCGGAGCAAAAGTATGCACATATGAGACACAAGGGTAACTCTCTATTTCTCACTCAAACGTTTCTCATCTCTCCTGTGTAGCTTAGTGTTACAACATGAGACCTGCTGGAAGGTTGTATGCTAAGGTTATTACCCTTGAGATAAATTAGCTGGAAGTTATAATTTGGATTAGGTTTCACATTAGATTAGGTTAGAGTTAAGCAAGGTTAGGTTAGCGTTAGATTAGATTAGGTTATGTTAGCTTAGGTTAGTATTAGGTTAGGATAGGATAGGATAGCATTAAGTTAGTATAGTGTTAGATTGGGTTAGATTAGCTTTAGGATGGTTGGTTAATCATCAGGTAAAATAATCAGGGGAGGAATCTACAGGTAAAAAACTAATAACCATATACTGTATAGGTCTTACACTAACACCCCCCCTCCTCTCCTCCGCGGGACAGTACTACAACAAGTGGCTCAGTCTGATAGGAGGCGTCATGTGTACAGCCATAATGTTCCTGATACAGTGGTGGACCGCGCTGCTTACCCTCACTATCATCATCCTCCTCTACCTCATCGTCGCCCACAGGAGACCAGGTGAACCATCCCCCCCCCTCCCCCTCCCTCCTCCTCTCCTGACAGCACCTCACGCGACCTTACCTGTACTGATACATCATGTAATAGACTCCTGTACTAATACATCATGTAATAGACTCCTGTACTAATACATCATGTAATAGTCTCCTGTACTAACTGTCCTCCTCATCGCCAGACGTCAACTGGGGGTCGTCGACACAGGCACAGATGTACAGCATAGCTCTGAGTTCGGTAATGTCTCTGAGTCAGATCGAGGAGCACGTCAAGACCTACCGTCCGCAGATCCTGGTGTTATGTGGGGCGCCCTCCGCCAGGCCGCCTCTCCTCCACTTCGCTTACTCCATCACCAAGAATATGTCACTGCTGGTTGTGGGACACTGCTTGAAAGTGAGTCATGGTCTTCTTCTTTCCGGTCTAAAATGTATTTATATTTCGGATGATGAAGGCCTAAAATCACTGAGCTTTATGACCTAATGCAGTATTTCAGCTGTTTATGTGTGCTGACACTTATTTATCAGTATGTCAGTATCTGTATATCCATTAGAACGCACATACACCAATATTTATATATACATACGTTTAAATCTTGTAATTTAGTTGAGAGACTTGTGAAAGTGGCTCCCATAAGCTTGACGGCCTGTTTGAACAGTGTGGATATACTACTCTGAAAACTACGTCTTCAGTAAACCGGCACTACACTTTACCATTATCTGTGCCTTCAGCAGCTGGGTCGACTGGGGGTCCATTACTTGTTAAGATTATTATTATGGCTGAGATATTATTATGACAGAGTCAGTAAGTCTCCCACACCTCCAGGATCAACAGTCCCAAAGAGAACGTTCTTCCCTGGTATCGGAGGCCTCGGAGTGGTTGTCACAACACAAGGTGAGGGCCTTCTACGCCCTGGCTGACGGCCCCTCCATGGAGCTGGCCGCCAGGACCCTCATGTGTACCGTCGGTCTGGGCAAACTACGGCCCAACCTGGTACTGATGGGCTACAAGGCCACCTGGCACTCCTGCCCCGCTGAGGAACTACACAGCTACTTCACCACCATACAGTGAGTGCCAGTGATGAAGGTAGTCCGTAGTGCCAGGGATGAAGGTAGTCCGTAGTGCCAGGGATGAAGACAGGAGGTAGTACAAAATCCTTTTGAAAATCTACTCTCAGTTTCAACCTTACACTCCTCCCTCAGCTACGCCTTCGGGTTACACTTGGCTGTGGGGATCCTACGGGTGGAGGACGGCCTTGACTATTCCAACGTGACGGAGATGACCCAGGACGACGACGACGCCGCCACCTACAACGCTCAAAACACCATCATCACCAGACCCCCAAAACCAGTTTCCTCCAACCTCACCGTCGATCCCGAACCTGCTGAACCTTCCGTGATGCCCTCCTCTTCGTCCGCCGTCAGCTTCGGTCACTACCAGTGTGAACAAGATCCCTGTTCCAGCTCGTGTGAGTATGGAGAGAGACTTGGGTAACCGATGATGAATTTAATGATCAACAAAACACTAGTTCTTTATATGGAGATTCTTATTCACGTATTCGTAGTGTTTATACTATATGTTTAATCATTAATACTGCTTGAGTACGTCGAGGCTTCTCTTCGCTCACGTAAACATGATTGTATAGACGAGATGACCATAGTTATAAACGACACAATTAAGTAAAAACAAAAGATAGTGTATATGTTTTGTCCATTTAAAGATAAGGAAAATAAGTCAATGTTGAATGATGATCAGGATGACAAGTGTTGCTGCCCTCTATAACTCTTAACGTGTTGTGTCATTATATTCCCCCCAGCTCTTACAAAAGCCATCACTCTTGGGTTTCAAAAACTGACTCAAGGTAACCTCAGTGTTGAAACAGTTGACCCCAAAACCTGCATGTGTTACCTTAGGCTGCATGGCGGTGTCGTGACTCCTGTAGTTGGCGGTAGATACTCAGACTCAAAGAACCTGTGTAGAGAAGTCAATCCAGGTACAGATGAAGGGTTAAAAGTACAGGTGCAGTCTTCCCCACTTAGTGACAGTATAATGAAGGTGTTGTTTTAGTGTAGAATAAAAAGAAACTTATTAAACTTATGATATATGAAGAATAGACTTGTCATGATTACTAAAGCCTTGATTATGACTAACAAGAACTTCCTGACTTAACCCATATTACTTCAACATTCTTAGACACGTGCATGATGTGATATAGTGTACTGCCTCAGTCTTAGTGCTCCATTCTTCTGTCCCTCAACAGTATGTGGAATTGTCACATTAGATTCATAACTATGCTCATTGCTGATGACTTGTAATGACAATAGTTGGCGTGAATGGTAGTGTAGTGTTTGAGTAGTATTTGGGCCTCACCTGAAGGTTAGTCCCTCTCAGTTCATTTCATTTGATGATTAAACACTCTAAATTTACCTAGGGGGTTAGTTTAGGGTAGGTTAGATTAGGTTAGCATTACTAATGACTCTAATGACTCATTAGAGTGTTTAATCTTAAGATGAAATAAGCTGGGGCTAATCTTCAGGTGATCTATATTTGGTATTATAAGGGTATGCTATTGAGGTTTATTTTCAACATGGTTGGATTACTGAACAAATAGTCAGCATGTATTGTCTCTTGAACTTGGACTTGTCATTACACATTAAGTCAATACTAGTGAGTCCTGGGTGATGGCTGCCGTGTGTATCTCTCTCTCTCTCTCTCTCTCTCTCTCTCTCTCTCTCTCTCTCTCTCTCTCTCTCTCTCTCTCTCTCTCTCTCTCATACATAATTAACATATAAAAGATAAACAATTAGAATAAAATCTAGTGAATTTTCTTTCAGCTCCGCTAAATTTTGTTTTATTATAAGTTTACAGAAGATATACACTGTTGTAAATATCTCTTTTTTTAGTAATTTGTTCAAAACGAATTCTGGTAAATTTGACAGGTAGACAATAGGCGCAAAACTGTATAATGTACTAAGTTATCACTTCATGAGGCGCCCTAATTCATTGGCTGTCAAACAAACTCTTATTTCCTGGGACGCGAGTTCGGTTTCATGGCCAGTCAGGTTTACAGATGTATCAGTGTGTGTTCCCTCCTGACACGGACCCAGGCGTAACCTTCTCACCTGTGACCAGCCATCCCATAGCCTGTATGAAGCTACATAAAAGAATGAAAGAATTCGGGTATCAGTAACTTAGTGAGGTATAAATATTTCATTGAATTCTAACACTGTCTTCCCTGACAGCTGCCATGACGGGGTACATCGGTGACCGCACCTCCCCTCCACTGTCACCCACTGAAGACGGTCACCCCTCCTTCCTTGGAGCTCTCAAGATGAGTAAGAAGAAGCTGGAACCAATGTATAAACTACCTGACGGAGAGAGGGTGCCGCCCCACACGGTGGACGCCATGTTACGCTTCACACGTAAACAAGCCAAGGGCACCATCGACGTGTGGTGGCTGTACGATGACGGTGGTAAGTTGTCACAGCCAGTATGTTATCCTCACTTAGTCCTCATAACATAAAAGGACCCGATCTTTCTTAATATTTTTGTCTTGTTTTATCTCGAAGTGACGTTTGGTCGATCTAGTCTCCTGATTGGCTACTTTTAGGGCTATTTTGTCTGCAACATAATTTGCATGATGGCTTGAGCTCCGGTTCCACATTTGGTATTTTCTTTTGCCGGCGTTTCTAGATCCGTAATTCATTCACCTGGTCTTGTTACCTCTTCTTGCTTTCCTGGGTATATATTTCTTTACTGTTATTTCAAGGATTTCCATAAAGTATTGCATTGGATCGTCTTGGCCTGAGTCTTCATTAACGATTTCTTCCCAGTTAATTCTCTGTACTGTAGTTCATCACTCATATGCTGGTAATGTTTGAGGTCGTAGGATTTGTCCAACTAAACAGAATTTCGAATAAATTTTCACAAGTGTAAATATTGTAATTTACTTCGAGTAAAATGCGTCGCGATTTTCATTGACATTTTAAGTTAGCCATGTTTTGTGTATTTGTTTAACTAAAGTTTCCCATCTATTTGGTCCTGCAATTTTTGTTTTCTATTGTACATTGATAATTAAGAAAACGAAACTTTATGGATAAACTAAACTATTTTTATAGGTCTGACAATGTTGATCCCGTACATATTGACGACCCGGGCAGTTTGGTCCTCGTGCAAGCTGAGAGTCTTCTGCCTGGCCAACAAGAAGGTAAACTAATTTGAAATTTTACACTCGACAATGTGTTTGTCTTGATGAATTATAAGAATTATACATTAATTCATTTTCTACCAACTCAATAACTTTCCGATGCGTTCACAAAAATTTCCTAAGTGCCACTGTAAAGTACGTTTGAAAACTTTTGTTCTATACAAACTATGGATTCATTCAGGGACTAATGACGGCCTGTATAGTGTACTTGTAGTGATAGCATTAATGTGTAACTGTATCCTTCTCGTGCAGGACGACCTGGCGTCTGAGCACAGGAGGATGATAGAGTTACTGTGTAAGTTCCGTATCGACTTCTCGGACGTGGTGATGGTGCCTGACGTGACCCGCCGTCCCAGAGAAGAGTCTATTAAAGACTTTAATAACCTCATCAGCGGCTTCAAGGTCCTGCCTGACGAAGACGCAGGAGGTGGGTGAAGGAGGAGTGTTAGTGTAGTATGAGAACACAAGAGAGCGCTCTTTGGTATTTTCTTGTGTTTCTGATTTAACTTAGTTTATAATTTGTTACCTAACCTAACCTACTATAAACAATTTAAGTCGAGAGGCATGCGCACAAGCCCCGAAAGTCTGCAGTTAGCTACACTCATTGTCTGTGCCTGTAGTAGTTCATCAGATTGGAACGACAATAAGAGGCTGGCCCAAACAGAATTGAAATTGCCCTTGTGTGTGTGTGTGTGTGTGTGTGTGTGTTAGCTCTTGGTGGTGCTCCTCCTTCATGTAACCTGCATGGAGAAGTGAACGCCATTCCTTGCGTAGCTGTCACCTCATCTTACATATCTGTTGACTTTCTGCCCCACTTCATCTATTCTAGAGATGACGAAAAAGTAAGACTGAGAGAAGAACTAGAATAAGAAAGTGAGGGAGTGGGTAAAGAGATAAAATGAGAGTGAGAGAGAGTATCATCCCTTGTAAATTTACATCTTCCTTGAAATCACGCTGTTGCTTCCTCTGCTTCAGGCAACAGGTGTGACGGCATCACGGAGGCTGAGCTGGTCGCCCTCAAGGATAAAACTAACCGACACATCCGCCTGAGGGAGCTGCTACTGGAGCACTCGAGAGAAGCCTCCTTTATTGTGATGTGAGTAGCCGAGCTTGTGTTAATTATTTTTATTTAACTGCGCCATCGTGACTTACGATTCCGATTGACTCTTCATAATGGAGAATTTTTCTTTTGAAAGTAACAGGTTTCTATGACCTAATTTACTCATTTGATCTGACTTCAAGTAAACGTAACCACATTCACCTGCACTAGAAGCTTTCTCTTAATTTAAAAAATTGTGCCATTTTAGTTCATTTTTTCGACAGTCTCGTCCAGTATATTGTCATATTAGTTCAGCTCCTTATCATTTCATTATCTCTACACTGCTGAGGGATGTGGTTCACTTTGTATTCGAGTTGCTTATAACAAATATGGAAGGACTTGACAGACACACGAGGGCAAGTGTGATATCTTGAGAAAGACACGACAACAACAAAACGACAAGGAGCTCAGAAGAGGCCAAGTCGTCTGGGTACAGGAAGATGGGGGAGTGAGGTAATGTTGCAGCTCTCCCGCCAGTAAGGGAAACATCAAAGTGATTCTACTAACCCTCAAGGTTCACAATTTTCAAATAATCTGTTAGATTTGTGGAACAGTCTATCAGTTCAAGCTGTGGGGTCTAGAACAGTACTGGAACCCGACACAGGCCCCTGGCCTCCTTCCCTCTGTATGACCACCTCTAGTTTGCGTGGCCATTATGTAAATTAGTTCGCGATAGTGAAATAATTACATTATTGTTTGATTGATTTATATTTATGAACATGGCAGTTATCCCCTTAATATAATTTAATTCCTTATCATTAGCAACACTGCCAGAATGTTGTTTTATGAAATTCAGTGTGTACAAAACTGGAGCTCTGGTGGGGCCCGGTGGAGATACAAACGTTGTTTCAGCTTTGATTCGACGTTGAAATGGTGTTACGTCATTTCTTCAGTACCATTTCAACACTGAACTAACATCAGGAGCCCACCAACCGGGAAATTGTCACCATCGCTTTAACACTTCTACCCCTTGTAAAACTATTTATCATTTTCAAATATCTATGTAAGTTTGTGTTGATAACGTCCCCACCGTTTTCTTTGACTTCTTACAGGGTAAACTTGAGATAATAAAGACGTTTGATATTTTTGTTCTTCTCATCTTGACCACTTATCAGCCGTTCGATCGTTTGGTCTATCCAGTGTTAAAACAGGAGGAAATCGGAGACCGGGAAACCTGTCATGTTTGGTAATATCTCACTGGACACCCTTCTAAAATTATGTGCATCGGCCGGGAATCGAACCCGGGCCTCCCGCGTGGCAGGCGAGAATTCTACCACTGAACCACCGATGCTTGCGGTATCTTTGTACGATGTATAAAAAATCTTAACGGCTAATACTTTTTAATTGGTCATATAGCCCACACAGTAACTCCCGCGTGGTGACAGTATCTTAACCCTTCATTTAACCTAGTAATATACATATAATAATGGGTGTTTTGTGGTGTTGTACAGGACGCTACCAATACCCGCGCTCGGGACTGTGTCGGCGCCCCTCTACATGGCCTGGCTGGAGACCCTCACACACCAGATGCCGCCCTTCCTCCTCCTCCGTGGCAACCAGACCTCAGTCCTCACCTTCTACTCGTGAAGATCTTCAGTAATCAAATCTCTCTTACTTTTTAATTGTTGATGACTCTATGTACTAATCTAGAATACGCGTCTAAAGGCCTTGGTTGTTGAAGCTCTTTATACATTACAACATCAACAGGACCCAGATCTCAGTTCTCATCAGTGATATTAGTCCCCTCCCCATCCTGTCCTCTCGAGGCCTACTGTTGCCCTCTCCTCACCCTTGCCTAAGATCAATATTCGCTGGAGACGCTACGCTTCTTACCGCTGTTTCCTGTGTTGCTCGCCAGCTACTCACTAGCTCCTGTAGCTGTATAACCTCAGCCTAAATTACACAAATCAGTTCCTAAAACAGACGTCCTGAACCTTCATTCTTAGCTTACACTTAAACTATAGATTACACGACCTTAAATTTGCAGCTATAGAATGTAACAAATTACATATTTTTAATTTGTATCTGAGCATCTATATCTGTAATTAATGTCAAAGCAACACGTTTTGCAGTCATAATATTGCCTAGTACAGCACTAGTGTGGAGGCTCACTGACACCCCCTTCAGTTGAGTGTACAGTAAACATACTCTTCCCGGCACGTCAACTGTTGAGGCTGTCATGTCAGTGTCTCGTGACCGTGTTGGGGTATATGGTTCTGTCTGTCAGTGTGGTAGGTTATATTTACAGGACAGATATTAGGTTAGAATTACAGTACAATAGAAGAGAAATACTGAGTGTGGAATCCTTCGGGAAATATTTAGTCTTGATGCAAGTCTTTAAAACCATGAAGGTGTGGTGGAGGTGGTGTGAGTCACATGGTTAAGACATTATATGGCCAACATCTTGAATCCCGGAGCGAAATGTACACCCGAGGCATACCTATATAGAGTAATAACCATATATAGATATTACATAGATTACTTAATGCAGAAAGAGGGTGAATAACTGAGGTATTTGGCTAGGTTATGCTGTATAATCTTGTTGCCTTTCCCACTAGTTCAACAAATGGTAAAAGGTTCGATGCATAATATCCCTGCCAGTTGAAACTCCAAAATTCAAAACAACAACAACAAAACATTCAGAATGTTTTATAAGCCAAGACCTGGTGAACGGTGTCAGTACACCGTGGCAACGTGCTGTACTGTACTGTACTGTCTCATGACGCGCACTCTATGTGATAATGGCTGTTAAAGATTAAAAATTTGGGTGATTATTTTTAATAAAAAAGACCCAAAAGCTATCAGAAGGATCTGTTTTAAACGGGACTGAATACCTAACACAGCTGACTATGTAGTTCCTTGATAGAATAGACTTTGTAATACAGCTGCTGTAATAATACTTCTATGGTCTGTTCGCTCCAACTTATACAACTGAGATTTAGGGTCAGTTTGTAGCCAGGCAGCTTAGTGGCTGGCGGACCGACACGCAAGGGGTTACTACCCAGTTCTTTAGTGTTTAATCTATCGCATTTATATTCTGATACTTTGAGAGATAATAACTTTTCTTTGTTGATCTCTCATCACTACAATTGGAGAGGTAAAAAATAGCTTGTAAAACTCGCTGGCAATAAAAACATCATAAAGGAAACACCAACATGGTAAACAAGTACAGTAATCTCTCGCTCGCCGCCTGACATCACGCAGCAAGGATGTCACTGAAAATTTGCCATATTTTTTCTCTTTACGATATTACAGCCTGAATTCAGACGGTGATTGAGCCTGCGATTGGAGCTCGGCTCAGGTGTGCGTAATCGGGATCCCTCGATACGAAATTCATGTAAAGGATTACCCATATTCAGAACATCGGCGTGAACCCCCCAGATCGGGTAAGCTGTTGCATTTTCTTAAGTTTCGAGCAAGGACTCGAACACTGAAATTCCAGCCAATCTCGTTTCATTTGCACCATTACGACAGCCAACCACCACCGAGAGTAATGTTTACAAGATCACGGCAGCAGATATGACACGACGAGTATTCTGGGAGGAAAAGTCTCTCCTTGTTAGTTTAGTTGCCGAAAAGTATAGAATGAAATAAGACAAACAAGTGGAAAGAAGTTACCGAGCAATACAACTCAAGTGTTAACGTCCAAACAAGAACGACACATCAACTTCAGACCTGTTGGAAAGTTAGGAAAGTCAAAGAACGAAAATATTTTGAGAGGGGAGTTGTAAATGTTACCCTTAACTATCTGCAGTAGTCATGTGGATAATGGTGTGATAGTTAGTGGTAATTGGTAAGAACTCTAACTTATCAGTGTGATAGTCTTATCCTTAATTAAACATAAGGGTAATAGTAATCACATAGTCCCATCAATATCACATCTTCATTTATTTCTTTGCCATCATAATTAAAGCGAGGATCGACAAATCTGACTTCAAACCCTGTATGAAACTGTGCGCCGGCTCAAGCCTGTCTTCTGGATACCAGCAAGCTTAGATCATTACTCGATCCTTGATTTAAACATGCGGACGGGTTCAAATCACCATTCTGAATTCGGACCTAAGTTACCAGTGCGTTTCACTTGCCAATTTTTGCTTCCCAAAATGCGGAAGTTATCAGAGATCAGCGATGAATAGTTATTATCCCTTAAAATATCAGAATATAAATATGATAGATTAAAGAACTGGAGTGATTTACGGGTGTTCGTCCGCCAGCCAATCAGCTGCCTTGCTACAAACTGACCCTAGGCCTCAGTTGTAAACCTCCAGTGAACCGACTTAAGGAATGTAAAGATGAAAAATATACTTTGCTAAACTATTTTATGATAATCATAACATTTACCAAAGATTTTCAAACAGATTTTTCTATAAGATTCAACAGATATGACGCTTTTTAATTTTTTTTTAGGATTTCTTGTGACATTATAAAATACTGTGAGACGTGAGAGGAGGTCACAAGTACAGCAGGCAGTAAGCGCCAGGTAGAGGAACAAGGTCACGATTCTCAAAGGTTCATACAGTGGCTCTTTCTCTTAAATGAAGATCTAATTCGAATGAACAAAAATACCGCTTAAAAATATCATCAGAATTACAGTGAGAAACTAACTAGATAGGTTCACCTTGCACCAGGTACAGTACAGTACTGTATGAGATTAAAGTAGACAATATTTGGTCAATATTATATACTGCATTTTTTTTATTAGACGTTGTTTGTGTGCGGTAGATTAAATTACATGTAATTAGTTTGGTACATTCTTAAATCTACACTTAGGAGGAAGTCACGTATAAATCTTTGAGAATTTGGTCCCAGTACACTGATGATGCCCATTACCAGGCATAGGGTAATTGTAATTGATTGTTATTAATTACTTAAAAAATATTTTTTAAATAATTGTTGAGTAATTTGAATTAACTACCCAAATGTAATTGCAATTTTAATAATTTACTTTCGAAATGGCAATGTAATTGATGCAATATTACGGTTAAAACGCAGGACCTCAACAAGTAATATTAATGTTGTATTAAACCTTGCCTGTGTTGCTCACTCACTCTAGCTTACCATGAAGGATGGGTCAAAAGGGGCTGACACTGGCACTCTACGCAAGGCCATCGCAAAAGCTTCATATATTGCTGCACACATGAAGAGGTCCACACATACAGCTGATCCTCTTGATGGAGAGAATCGTGTACAGACAGCCACACCTGCACGCTGGAACTCCGAGGTGAAGACGCTGCACTCTCTTCTGGCAGCCTCATCTGAGAAGTTGGACCTGCTTGATACAGCAAAATTAACTGCTTGTGACCGTAATATCCAGGAGGATTCGTGTGAAAATCTAAGTCCTTTTAAAGATCCCACTGGTAATATGCAGGGTCAGACAAGGTCATTTCCAGCTATGTTATTCCGTGTATTCTTGGTCTCAAAGCTCGGCTCAATTTCACGAAATCTCACTTTAATGATAAGCTGGCGCCAACTCTCAAAGACTCGCTCATCAGCCGCCTTTCTGGATATGAAAAAAAGGATATTTTTTGTACTTGTTGCTGATCTTGTTCTCAGGTTCACGCTGCAGTGGTGTACAGCTGTCACTCACTCTCACGCCAAACACTACTTGTGTTATCATCTCACCAACCAACCACTCAAGTTATCAAGTCAAGCACTCGCCATATTCAGCTTGACAAATGTCAACCCTCCACCTGAACCTTTGTCTCAACCCTCCAGCTGAACCTTTGTCTCAACCCTCCACCTGAACCTTTGTCTCAACCCTCCAGCTGAACCTTTGTCTCAACCCTCCAGCTGAACCTTTGTCTCAACCCTCCACCTGAACCTTTGTCTCAACCCTCCACCTGAACCTTTGTCTCAACCCTCCACCTGAACCTTTGTCTCAACCCTCCACCTGAACCTTTGTCTCAACCCTCCACCTGAACCTTTGTCTCAACCCTCCACCTGAACTTTTGTCTCAACCCTCCACCTGAACCTTTGTCTCAACCCTCCCTGAACCTTTGTGAACCTTTGTCTCTCTGAACCTTTGTCTCAACCTCCACCTCCACCTGAACCTTTGTCTCAACCCTCCAGCTGAACCTTTGTCTCAACCCTCCACCTGAACCTTTGTCTCAACCCTCCACCTGAACCTTTGTCTCAACCCTCCACCTGAACCTTTGTCTCAACCCTCCACCTGAACCTTTGTCTCAACCCTCCACCTGAACCTTTGTCTCAACCCTCCACCTGAACCCTTGTCTCAACCCAACAGTGTGGTAAAGGAGGTCCAGGAATATCCAAGTCCCCTCTGTATATCTGAAGATCGTCTGAGCCACTCATTACAGTACTGGCAGGTCCATAACCCAGGTCTTGCTGCCTTGGTGTCCCTCCTCCTCTGCCCCCCAGAACGTCTCTTCAGTACAGTATTGGGGGCCAAATGTTCAGGTATGATCACAGTACATGACTGACAGCACATGTTAAAGATTCCTTGTACTGTACTTCACAATATGATGTTTACTTCGCGTCTTTCTCTTCCTTTAATTTGTATTAGGTGTTGCTCTAAATGGAACTGAACCGTATCTCAATTAGGCTACTTGTCAAGGGGATGTCGTCATCTCGTTAAACAAACAGTCATAATCGGTAACTGCAATCAATTACCTTCATTTGTTAGCTGTAATAGTATTTGAACACAAGCAAAGTAATTATAATCAATTACATTGTCATTGTTCCATGCCTGCACGTTATTATGAGAGCTTTATATATTCTGTGTGGTAAAAGTGTCTTGCAAGGTAAATAGGAATAGTCTGTTTATTTTATGACTCTTAAACTATGAACGTATTTATCTAGCATAAATATGTTCAGCCTACTCTCCGCTAACCATCCCTGCTGCCCTTGAAGATTCTCAAAACTCCCTACGATATTTTATCATCTTGGCTGGAGAAGTGACAGCGCATTAAACTGCCGAACTTTCAATGGTACGTCACTTATATGGATGTCAAGTAAACGTGCTGAGGTGACCCCGAGAGTCTATTGTAAGTAACTGCGTTTTTTAGCCCAAGTTAAGTGATAAAATAAGCGTTTTAGGTAGGGAAAAAAATAAGTAGAAGAGTTTGAGAATCACCTCCTCATCCTACCGACTGTTGACTAGGATGACCATGTAACAAATATAAATTTTATACCAAATTAATCCATATATTCTCAATGCGTTTTCATATAAGACTATTTTGGCTGTACCTTGTAGACATACGTTGATTGTAAATAGAATAAGCAATTTATAGCAATATAATCATTATTTGTGTTTTCATTTATTCCCTCTTTGGAAAATTGCATTAAGACGTTTGGATGCCAGAAATACGAACAGATTTTGAAATATTACATGTAGGGCACATCTGTTCTATTAAATTCCAAACCCACAAAGGCACTTTTATATGACTATTATTTGAAAACTGTACATTTTATCATGAGGTTAGGATAATATACTAGGTCGTACTAGGTTATGTAAGGCAGGTTAGATCACAGAGCAGGTTGTGTCCAAACTAGATTTTCACTAATACCAGACCCCAATATTTAAGGTAATTTTAGATAATGTAGAAAGTAATTCTATCAATACAGTGTTGCGAGTTTCGTTTGGCTGATTTAGGTTACGTATAATAATAAATTAATCTTTGTTTAACTCGAAGGTCATGACGGCAGCTGTGGGTCTGTTTACACTGACACTTTTTCGTAAATTTTTGGCTGGGTTCAGTCAGGTCACCAGGCCTCTCCTGCCCTGACTAATGGATGTTTGTCGCACGTGAGGGATGTACTGCCAATGAACACATAATTATATCTACCGCTTACCTGCTAACATTGTCACAACACTGGGTTAAGAGACCTTTTTCAAAACTTTCATCTGTGGAACTTTTCGTCAAAACACTTTTTTTTTATAGTAAGCGTCTTCATCGTCTGGACCAAGTAAACTAATGTTAATAAAACAATTCTGTAAGACACAAAGTAAAAGTAAGACTGAACAAAAAGTTGACCCGTCGCCATGGAGGAAATACAGGCGACTTATCTCCAGGAAGTGCGGAGGGTAAAACTGATGACATAACTCATTATCTCAGTTCTCCATGAGCTAAATCCCCACACAAGGTCTTATCATTTGTACGTATTAGAGTTATCGTTTTCGTAAGGTTCATGAGCAAACACGGGGAGATTTGTGTCAGTTAGGTGTAAAACATCTATACACTTGCGAAAACAAACAAGCTTATACAACCTATTACAGTCGTTTTAAGAAAGCTTTTTATCAAGGCATTGTCATCAAACAACACCCCAGCGACCCGTACTGTAGTTCACTCTCTCTACAACATGAATATTGGGGACCGGTCAAGACAGGAAGGTGTTGTACAAATATAATTGAAGTTTCAGGGTTATACTGACCTACCAAGGACTCGTTACGTTAATTATTATTTGTAAAAACTCTCCGGACACTCCTTAAGTTCCACCTGATGACAAAATCGATCGCATATCCTCATTAAAATAATCTGGGTCCGCCTGTTTACAGTTCGATTGAGAGATATGATTAATATAAGTCTATGGTAAGTTATTATTATCATATAACATAAAACTCAGGCGTTAAACGTAAACAAACGAGAATTAATTTGTCCCCTTCAACTATACAATGGCTGGGTGTCCGCTGCAGCTTCACTTACTGTTCGAGTGGTGAAGAAACCATGTGAAATATAATTTATTATGTATATTATATAATATCATTCAATGGTACAGATATATATTGGGAATGTTTTATTTTAATTCACTGATATTCATAATATATTACGTATTTATTTAAAGCTATAAATCACTAGTACAAATTGAAACTTGTTTTGGCAGCCTATTTATTACTCTTGTACAATATCTGAATAAGTAAACATCGTGACAGTTAGAAAATAGACAATCGTTACACTACAGTAAAAAAAATTAGACAAAATAATCCGCCAGTTCAAGACTCTATACATCCTAATACTCTGTTATTACTTCAAACAAGGAGTAATTTTTAGCCACTAGCTTCAGTCACCCTTTTAGGTAGAGAGAGTCGAGGTGGAGGCGGACTGCGTCAGTGATGTGATGAAGCGGGAAGTCTGTGATGTACTCCTGGGTGGCTGGGGGCGGCTTCTTGTCCAGGGGTGGCACCGGCATCTGGCTGAGAGGGGTGGCCAGTGGGGCGGTGAAGAAGTAGTGGTGTAGGAGAGCCTGGAGGACACAGGTAGAGAGGCAGGTATAGTGATGATTACAGTTCGTTTTTGTAATACTCATCAGTCTTTTGTTATTTCCTCCTCTTGCACATAATCCCAGCCTCTTGCCTAGCTTAATCCCAGCCTCTTGCCTCGCTTAATCCCAGCCTCATACTGCATCACCTAATCCCAGCCTCTTACTGCTTCACCTAATCCCAGCCTCATACTGCATCACCTAATCCCAGCCTCTTACAGCTTCACCTTCTCCTAATCCCCAGCCGGCCATCAAACCAATCACGCCCATGTATCACTCGTACCCTAGTGAGCCACATTTGTCCCTGTAACATCATGGGTACGGGAGGTGCTTGGTGGCGTCTGTCTGTCTGTCTGCGTTTTATGAATGGTGTGTGGTCAGGGTGATCCAGACATGCACTTTGACATTCTATACTTTTAAGGTCATGAGGTAAAGAATACTGGGTCTGTGTAAATGGAGAGGTGTGTGTGTGAGTGTCTGTGCAGATTACCACAAACCGTCCATCTCAAGTATTACACCTTTATTTAAGCTATATATATATAACCTGTGTATATACAACTAGGGGTAGATGCATCTTTAAACAAACAATATACTTAGTAAAAAATAATGGATAAGTATATAAAGAGGGGTTGGCTGAAGATTATATCCATTTTTTTTTTTTACTTTTGTGGGAGGAAGTAAGAGAGATATGAATAACCCGAGGCCAGCAGAGCGTGTGCAGGGTGGTCACGGGTTTTTCTGCGAGCACCAAGGGATTACAGAGGGGCAGTGAGGAGGAGAGTCGGATATGTAGGTGAGGAGTGCTAAAAATAGTAAGGTCGTGATGTTTAAGAGGTTTTGAACATTGAATGGACGGATATAACAAGAAGAGCCAAGGGAATTATAGATATTAAAAGTGTTGCTCAGCTAGGATAAGGGGAGAATGGACTAAAAATAATAAGAGTGGTTCACATTGCTAGAATCATCTGGCAAGTCGCGTTACAACTAGTCTCTAAGGAATTTCGTATTATATAACTAAATCACATCTACCATATGACAGGCTTTATATTATGCTCTAAAACAATTACGAAAGTCTTCAAATAAATATATGAGCACCAGTTATCCTTCGACTCTCACCAAGGACATTTTGCGTCTTTCATAATAAAGTATCGACTGTACTGTATACGCTCTACATACTTTAACCGTACAGTTGTTTATCGCTCTACTGACCAGCCACAAGCCGCTCATCTTGTGGCTCACGTGATGACAGTCCACACATTATGTCTTCCTCATATGAAAGGAGATACGTTGCCTATGCCTTGTTCTTTTTTCTCCCAAATAAATAGGAAATAATCTTTCATTCCTTCCATTCTGAGCCAATTTGAAACTTGGAACACTTGTACTGTACTTTTTGACCAGGATACCAAAATACCTTTATCATTTTATGTGACCCATAAACAATGATATAACACCTGTCAAACGTAATTAATAACACGTAATTTAAGAGTTATGGCCACTATTTGTCCATACTGTCTCCATGCACCAAAGTCATGTGGGCGTGAGGAGTGAAGATATAGGTAATGGTTGTGTCCGCCTGAGCGTGATGGACCAGCATATATATTTTGTATTCTTTTAAAACCTGTGCGTGTTATGAGAACGTCTGCCCAGCCACGTGTTCACAGAATATTAAGTGTTTACGGTACCGTGTGGCTATACCAGTGTTTACGGTCAATTTTTTTCTAGTGTTTTATGTTATATTGTGTTTATTCGTGTATGTACGGCACTGTAAATATATATTGATGTTTATATTTACGTTTATTGTCTTATTTACGATACATGTTTATACAGGTGTTTACATTTATTATAGGAACCATGTTAATACAACTGTTCACGACGCCTAATGTTTTTATGTGTTTATGGTATTAAATGCTTATAGTATTATTATTATTATTACTATTATTATCATTATTATTATTAGCCTCATAGATCCAGACAACTACTTCAGGTGTTACTCTCGAACACTGAAAGCGTCAGCGTCTTGATTATGTAACTCAAACCTAACTCTGGACACTGTTATCAGCCCACAGCCTCACCACACGTGCGAGTCTGTGGTCGCGTACACTATCATTAACATTTATAGCGACATTTATGTTTATGCAACAAAAAAAAAAAAAATCAGTCTGGCTTCCTGTACCAGCACCCCCTCACTGGAGAGTTACTTTCTCTTCACACACACACACACACACACTACTACTACTACTACTACATGCTACTACTTTTTTTTCATAAAACGTGGCCTCCAGCCTCCCCCAATAGCCACACCTTCGCCACCATTTTATTACCTTAATATTAAATATCCTAATACATAAGTAGCTACCCTAGCTGTGTTGAGTTAGTTGAGCCGCAGATCTATGCGGCATTCAGTGACTGTTGCCTCATAGTCAATATCTGCAGCAGTTGTCGGAGTAGGGGCAGAAGCTCTCGTTCCCCTGAGGCAGAGCAAAGCCGACCGAAGGAGAGACAGTCGACATCTCATCCAGGCTGTAACATAACTTCTGGGCTGCTGCTTCTGTTCGGAGATCACCTCCGCGAGTCTGGCGTAGAAACATCTTGCACTTGGTCCCCATCCCACCAGAGGTTGTGAACACTAGAGGAGTGAAGCTGCCTTGATCAACGTTTTGAATTCTCTCCCCATATGCCCTTATCTTGTCGTTCTCGTTCCTCCTGTGTGCAGCATCGAGAGCTAGGTTACGGTGACATGCGGCCATGGGATAAAAAATCCTGATGTCGAAGAAAACTCGCTGTCCCTGCGTCCAGAATCCTCGAGCACTGACGTCAACGCGGGCTTCGTTAGATGTGTTTGAAGTCCTATGTTGGAAGATCTCACCATCCAAAGGAAGGAGGGTCGGTTCTACCATGACATCCCTGCAGATTTCCTTCAACTTATTTGCTGTGGGGTCCCTTACTTCGTCATACCTCATGCATATGAAGCCCCCTTTCTTGCACACCATGGCGTGATCGACGTCATAGGAAGAGCCACACACGCATTGGGAGGGCAAACCTTCTACTGGCTGACCGTACCTTAGAGCAATGGCATCTGTAAATTCTTGGTTCACACTCAGGATGGGTTGGAGAAAGGAAACTCACAATGTGCTCTCTATATACATATTGTATTGGATGTACAATGCAGCTTGGTACTGGGTAGGCAGCATGGTTACAAGCGCAGAGAGAGCTGGTTGGTGAGGGTGCCCAGAGGAGGGCACGCAGCTTGAGGGACGCCAAGGTCGCCGGCGGGAACGGGAGCCGCCAGGCTGGAGCGGAGGAGGTGTTGCTTGCTGGTGGCCGTAGGTAGAAAGAGGTTGGTCACAGCGGTGTGAGGTCTTATAAGGCGGGGGTAGGCGTGGGTTGGTATAACTTTGTAGATAATTTTAGCTCCCTACAGCTGAAGACGCGGGTACGGAGTCTGCCAAAGGCTTGAGATGCACATCTGATCTGATGCTGAATCTCTTCATCGTTGTCCGCGATGGTGGATAGGTGGTGGCCGAGATACTGAAAGTGGGCAACATTAGAGAGGGTAGTACCATTTAGCTGGGTGGATGGTGGAGGTGTGGTTGAACCAGGGGCAGGCTGAAAGAGAATCTGAGTCTTACACACACACACACTCACGTTATGATACAGGTGCCGCGATATATACGGTACAGTACCTTGCTCGCCGATAACCTCTTGTCAGAATAGTAGATGACGAACTTCTTGACCAGGTCCAAGGCATCAGGTGGTGCATCTGGCAGCACCTGGCGAGATGTAAACACAGTGTTACTTGGTTTATGAATATTTTAACATGTAACAAATTGCAAACATTAAAACTCAGACATAAACAAAGATGTAAACAAAGAATTACTTGGTGTACGCTTTCTATAACACCTGACAGGATATAAACATAAACAACAAAGATTAAACCACTGGAGGCGCATGATAAATAACAGGATTGTACACCTGGATGCAACACCTACAGTACCATTATGTTCACAACTTTTATAATTATCACTAAACTCGGGCATCTAAGGAACGCCTAACTAATATAAACAAAAGTAATAAGTTGAAATCCTTAACAAAACGCATCTCGGATATATAATGTTAAAGTTTTCAATAGTCATGTGTGGACGGAAATTACTGATTTATGAATTAAGCCGCAAGGTTCTCAGTGATCTTTTATACACATACAAATTAATACTACAATTAATGCAGTAATATATTTGTATGGTAATAATTTTCAAGAATCGTTAAGTCATCAGAGGAAAACGTGAATATCAAGTACTGTATTGTGAACCGTGTTAAAGTGGGTACCGTGTATCACTCTGCCTCCTGTCCTATCGGAAATAGTGTAACCTACTTAGTCGACCCAGTTGCTGAATGGGTATTAGGTTAGGTAAGCGTTACGGCGGTTTATCTTAAGGTGAAATAACCTATGGGTAATTTATCTCCAGGTGAACCTTTGTGGCTTATTGCAGAATATACTGAAAACTTGCACATGCCGTTAAAGGTGCACACAATAATAAATAAAACATAGTTGCAGCATGGTAGGCCACTAAAGTCGATATGCCTGCCTGTGAATCGCCCTCCTTCCCCGCTACTGAACACTCGCCAGCTCATGGATTTTTCAGGTCACGCGCTTCCCTATTTGCTTTTCCTAACTGTGCCTCGCCTCCTGCTGAGTCACATTAACAGGAAGTGTGGCGCCCGTGATGAACGCTGGTGAGAAATGAGCTGATGACGATTCCTTTCATCTGGCCGTAGAGATGGATGAACCTCTCCCTACGACCCCATGTTAACAATAATAATAATAATAATAATAATAATAATAATAATAATAATCAGCGCGTCACACACAAACCCACATAATGGCTTACACCGTTTCGCACTACAGACCACAAAATATAGATAGTGGAGCCAGTGGGGTGGATAGCATAATCTTGAGGGCTGACGAACGTAAACTAAATATAATATTCACTATGTATCGCTTTCATTTTGAACAGGTTTCGTTACACTTGGTCAAGCTTAGATTAGTGTGTTCAGATTTGTGTAAATTTAAAATGAACTCTGGATATATATTATACACTCGTACATTGTTGAATTTGTTTTAATATAATTATTTCAGCATATCGGTGTTCAGTCACCATATTGTAAAAGATATATTATTATTAGTCGTATTCAGGTTCCTGTTTCTATTATGATATTGTGTATATATTTTCACCGATATGGCTTGTTTGAAACTCGAATTTAAAATAGTAAAAAAACCTGTTGTAATATTATACTGTCTTGTGATGTGGATAATAGGGGACTCACGTGTTAAAGGGAGACTCACGTGTTATAGGGGGCCTCACGTGTTATAGGGGGCCTCACGTGTATAGGGGGCCTCACGTGTATAGGGGGCCTCACATGTTATAGGGGACCTCACATGTTATAAGGGGCCTCGCGTGTTATAGGGAGACTTAACTAGACTCACCTGCTCTAGAGGGACTGGCTTAGACTCAGGGAAGGTGATCTTCTTATAGTCTGGCAGCTGGGAGAGGCCGGGCCAGTTGGTCTCACTTGGTGTACCTAGGATCTGTAGCACCACACACAGCTGGTCTATGTCACTCTCTCCCTGCAACACAAGAACCACCTGACACCACCTTGTACCAGCACCACCATCACCTGGAACTATTATGAACACCTCTCACCTGTGACAATTAACTACCAGTAATGAACCGGGCAAAATAGGTTATAAGGTGCTATTTTTAGCTATAATTGGGCGTAAACATAGCGATAATAGAGAACGCGAGATAGAAAGAGACAGATAGATAGATAGACAGACAGAAAAAGAGATAAACAGACAGAAAGATAAAAAGACAAATAAATGAATAAAGAGACAAACAGAAAGACAGAGAGAGAGAGGGGAACAGTAAACGAAAGACAGACAGACAGACAGACAGACATTTAGATAGAAAAACAACTAGAGAAAGAGAGAGAGAGACAGGCAGAAGGTGACCCACATAGCTGATAAATTCTACTCACCGGGAAAATTGGGGAATTATTGATCATCTCTCCAAAGATACAGCCAACAGCCCACAGATCGACCCCTTCATTATACTGTCTCGCCCCGTACAGCAGTTCTGGCGCCCTGTACCACCGTGTAGCCACCTGTACAACGAAGTCAGGCTATATTACAGGTTATTGGGTCATATTACAGGTTACTGGGTCATATTACAGGTTACTGGGTCATATTACAGGTTACTGGGTCATATTACAGGTTATTGGGTTATATTACAGGTTATTGGGTCATATTACAGGTTACTGTACAGGTTACCACCTGTACAGGTTATGGGAGGTTACTGGGTTATATTACAGGCTATATTGCAGGTTATTGGGTCATATTACAGGTTACTGGGTTATATTACAGGTTACTGGGTCATATTACTGGTTATTGGGTTATATTACAGGTTACTGGGTCATATTACAGGTTATTGGGTCATATTACAGGTTACTGGGTCATATTACAGGTTACTGGGTCATATTACAGGTTATTGGGTCATATTACAGGTTATTGGGTTATATTACAGGTTATTGGGTCATATTACAGGTTACTGGGTCATATTACAGGTTACTGGGTCATATTACAGGTTATTGGGTTATATTACAGGTTACTGGGTCATATTACAGGTTATTGGGTTATATTACAGGTTATTGGGTTATATTACAGGTTATTGGGTTATATTACAGGTTACTGGGTCATATTACAGGTTACTGGGTTATATTACAGGTTACTGGGTTATATTACAGGTTACTGGGTCATATTACAGGTTACTGGGTCATATTACAGGTTACTGGGTCATATTACAGGTTACTGGGTCATATTACAGGTTACTGGGTTATATTACAGGTTACTGGGTCATATTACAGGTTACTGGGTCATATTACATGTAAAGTACGGGTAAAAATTATCGAATTATGTTGAATCTTATTAACTCTCACTAAACACATTACAGTACCTGGTGAGAGTACAGCCTCTTGCCCTGCCTGTTGAAGACCCGACAAAGACCCAGGTCAGCTATCTTAAGTTGACCTGTGTCGCTGATCAATAGATTTGCTGGCTTCAGGTCCTATAGATAGAGAGAGAGAGAGCGATTTCTAGTATAGCCTGTGTACATACATAGACTGTGCTGGTGTATAAACGATGTGCAGAGACAAACAAATGTGATCATACTACAGGTACAGTAAAAGGGATTACAATTTGGTAATAAGTATTTAAATAAGTCTGGTTGGTTCTTGTCTGGTTTCAAAAATAAATAAATGGTTTAGACCGTCTGATGGTCATCCTGTCCGTGGTTACTTATTAACATTATACTCCTTGACACTTACCCTGTGCATGATGTTGTGCAGGTGGAGGAAGGCGACCCCTGACAGTAGCATGGTCATGTAAGATTTGACCTGAGCTGGGGTCAGAGATCGTGTGGCATCACGGATCATCTCACCCAGGTCACCCAGCATTAGTTCAAACGCTAACACGAACCCCGCACCCTCAGCGAACACGTCCAGCAACCGAACTACCTGGCGATCGAAAATTAAACAGTACATTAAAACGAACGTGTCCAGCCAACCTAATACATGGCTGGTCTCTTGAAAATACCAATAATAACAAAACCACACGTATAAAACTATCACTATAAGAATATTGATGTATGGAAATTAGATCATGTATAATTACTGGTATATATTATGACACCTTTTACATCATTGATATCCATAAACTTGGCCTCACAAGATGATTAAGATGTTGACTAGTTTCTACGAGACAATGGTTGGTCACGAGGGAGGAGAGGGGTCCGCAGCCTCCGCACTGACTCACAATCTTACTCATAATTACTATGCACCAAAGTGATTCAACACGTCATTATAGTTTAGTTTTAGTTCATTCAAATATTTATCATCCAATTATAAAACATTAACCCACTTACAGGTCGTGTATTTTTTTTAATTATTACTGTTATTATTATTATAGGAATATTAATGATTTATATTTGAACTTATTGACGATATATTTATGAAATATATTGACCCATCTCGCGTCTATATAATCATTCCATTATAATATATCACTGCCGGTGTTCTGATAGGCAGCCAGATTCACAGTACAGTATCGTGGCCACATCCGTCATGACAGCGACACCAAAATCACCTCTAGGTTAAATTATTTTTTAGTATCAGAATATTTCGTTTTAGTTTCAGTTATATTCCTTCGTCTTCGTTCATAATAATACATCATTACATTCAGGGAGATGGCACTACAGTATATTGTAGGCTGCTGCATAGGAACATGACCTTGTTGTATCACTATATTTTGACTGACTTACTGTGAACTGATACGAACTTTGTGAGCTGATACATGTGTTCTGAGTTGATATATGCTTTGTGAGTTGATGCATGTGTTGTGAGTGAGATGATACATACGTGTTGCGAGCTGATACATGTGTTCTGAGTTGATATATGCTTTGTGAGTTGATGCATGTGTTGTGAGTGAGATGATACATACGTGTTGCGAGCTGATACATGTGTTCTGAGTTGATATATGCTTTGTGAGTTGATGCATGTGTTGTGAGTGAGATGATACATACGTGTTGCGAGTTGATCTCCTGGAGGGCCTTGATCTCCCTGAGGGCGGTGGTGGGCATGCCCTGGTCCAGCCGCCTTAAAGGAATCTTCTTCAGGGCCACCATCCGCCCCGTCAGGTTGTGCTTGGCTCTCACAACCACCCCGTGTGCACCCTCCCCGATCCTGCCTACCACCGTGTATGCCTCCATCACGCTGTTTAGGACAAGTTAAGAACGTTTTAACTTTTTTTTGGGGTGGGGGTTGTGTTGTGTTGTGGGTAGCAGGAGAAAACGGCCCCTGTCGAAAACGGCCCAAACCAGAACGGCCCCACTCTAACCAAAACGGCTCCACCCTATAACCAAAACGTCCCCACCGTGTGACCAAAACGGCCCCACCGTGTGACCAAAACGGCCCCACCGTGTGACCAAAACGACCTAACTCTAACCTAACCTAACCAAAGTAATTTGCTATAAGGAAAACCATTCCGGGGTTGAAGCTCGTCGTATGTTTTATACAGAATACGAAAAAGGTAACTACAGTATTGTGTTGTGTTGTTCTTTTGCTTACCGTACAATTCCTATATCAAATATTACCGCCACATAAATACAGTTAATGGAAAAGCGAAAAGTTAATATATCAAAATATTCATGCAACTTACCAGATAAAATTGTCTCTGAACCATCTAAACAACTACCTGGGTCAGACAAGTGAGAAGCTATTTACAATTACACTCCTAATCAAGAGCATTGTTAGTGCCGTTGGTTACCACTAGCCTTCGCTCACATTATTCTGTCTTAAGAATATTTCGCCATGTAATTTCAAGGCTAAAAACAATGCTGAAAACCAAAACACTCAATGATGTTTTATGACAAGCCACTCGTTCAAGGTTTGTTTGTTTACAGTCAGCGGATGGCGTTTCCATGGCGACAAGCTTCTTGCACCCTCCACTAGGTGACAGCACAGAGGATGCGGTTATTACAAACAACGAATGAGGGAAAAATCATTAAAATCTCGTTAATAGGTATAATCTTAGGAAAAATTTTATGATTGCCTGTTTTGTATCTTATAGTGAGATAGTATTAACGTCTTATTACACTCTTCGTCTTAGAGAATTAATTTTTTGGTAAGCAGGTTTAGTGCTTGCAACAGATATTTTAATTTCATATTTCACATTTAGATTATGACTGGTCGGTCATCTTTATGAGTTTTATTCATTCATATACTGTATATTAATGTCAACAATGTATTTTTTATTTTAAAAAACGACATTCTGTCCCAGAAAGGACAGGTTTCACGAATCTCTCCGTTATTCCAGTAAGAAAGGATATTTTTGAGTCAGCATTGAAGAAAGTGACGTAATTTATATAAAATATAATTAGAAGACAGGGGTGTGAAAGTAACAGGCAAGGAAGGGACGCGGCGCCGCAGTGATCGTCATGTGTTTCACCTCCACGACGACACTCGGCCACTCGGTATCTCAGTGTTGCTCGTGTTCCTTGTGAGTGAGGAGTGTTGTGAACCCCTCCACCTCTTGTTTTGTGTTACTTTACGTACAGGAGTTTAGCTTTTCTTCGAGAGCACATTTTTTCACAAAAGGTTAGTATAAAAGGTCCGTTACGGGGGATAGTTGGGTTAAGAAAGAGGAATTTACTATAAAATTCCACAATAACACGGTAAGGTCGAAGCTCGCAAGTTTTCAGCTGCTGTAAAAGTTAGTGACGTTTGGCTTGGGTACACCAACCTGCCCATATTGTTGAGGTTTTTTTACTGCAGTATATCTGTAATGACCGATCTTTTGTTGTGTGGTGCTATACTACTTACATAGAAATGCCCGTGAAGTGAATATTCTTTGTCAGTGCATCATTGATTGACGTAACCTAATTCTGAGAGGTCAGTAGAGGTTACGTTCGTTAATTGCTTTATCAAGTTGCAGATATTTTAATACTGCAGCTGTCTGGGTATTTTCTTATACGTGAAAACGGCAACAAGATCACTAGGCAGATCAGGAGATGGTATTAGATATTGGTAAAATAGGTCAGGTAGTATCCAGTGTTTATTTCCAGCTGATCTGTTTTGGTACACAAGGTGATGAAGGTATGTACCACTTATAGCAGTGTTTCTCAGGTAACCAGAGCATGTATTGAATAATGTTTTACTTGGCATATGTCTATTACTTCGTTATTCATTGTATCACGTGAATATGAAGTATACGCTAGTGTATTTAAGGAGTGAAACCAGGTTAAGAAAGGTATAAATTCAGAAGAGCTCTGCCAGCTTAGTACTAAATTTACAAGAAATTTCCCCCAAGAAAAATTATTAAGAGACGTTATAAGAACAGATAAATGTTGCCATAGACAAGGTTGGACACGGTGTAATTTCACAGAAGAATGGTTGCATCTTGGCCGCAGCTGTAGTATCTTCTCTGAATCTTCAGGGTGAGAACAAAGCAACACTGAACTGTCGAATTTTAGCGAGAACTAACCATTGCCATTAATAATAACTCAGCATTATTTTATTTTGACAACACTCAATGGACAGTTCTCAGATGGTTTGTTTTCATTCACTCCAGCAACACACACAGAGGCAGCTGTTGTTGAGATACAGTGATTCTTCAGAGAAACTTCCATTTTTGTCTGGTTTATTTTGGCAATTTGTCTTGACTCCTACATCTATTATGGACAGTTTTATAGTAAACTAGTTATATATTTAGTATCAAGGTGATGGAGCTCTTCTGAAATTTTAATGAAGTAAATATAGAGTGAAGCTACAGGCCTGAGCTCAGCTGCCTTGGTTCCAGAGCTTAAGGGAAAGTATTCCTGGTAAGTGCATTAATGTTTGCCAAACTTAACACTGTTTGTCTTACTCTTCCTTAATCTGATCTTAAATGACAGAGATTCAGGTAGATGTAGTGCTACTGTGTGATCAGTAGCACATGAAGTTATGTGGGAAATGTCTTTATTTTGACAATAGGTTCATATTCTTATACTGTACCAAGATTAAGCTTTGGTGTTAGTATATTAAAGTCTTTCTAACAGAACCTAGAATGTTGTAGGCAGTTTTTGATTCGTGCACTATTCCAGAAATAATAGCAATGTACAGCGAGGTTTGGGAATCCAGCGTTATGGTACCGGTATAATATAGAATTTATGACATACTGTACGTAATTCCTTGATTTAGAAATTCTGGCTTAACTTTAATTAAACTTGTTACAGTACAGTTGGATGTTTGCATAAGTAAGGCTTGAACAATCCAAAGAGAATGCAGATACAGTACAGGACCACAAATGTTTATCACAGTGTTAGTACAGTATTGATTGGGGAAGGATAAATTTAGCTCTAGTGTTACATCTTAATATTTTTGTTGGCATTATCACCTACATGTATGTTTTCATGAATGGAATGCATATCTGCTAAGAGAACAAGGATTAAGCTACTGTAGATTAAATATTGGTTTGAAACAGATCACAAGAACCAACTACAGTACTTAATGTTAGGTCGGTTCTCGTAATCTGCCATATAAGGTTTTCTTCAGCGTACCTGTACTCTCGTTACTCGCCCGCTAGAGTACGTTAAAACAAACATATTGGTAAAGGTTATGCTATTAAATAAGAATAATTTTTCTGGTAACTGCCACATTTAAGGCTAAATATTAATATCCATTGTAGGGTTAATGACCCTTTACCTCTGGGTACAAGTAATAGACCTGGGCCCCTTAGCCATAGTGAAGATATTGGTCAGGTCTGATGTAGCTATCTCACCAAGGTAAAATAATTTATAAGTTCTGAGATTTTTTGATACAAGTATACTGTAGCAGTTCATATTCAGAGAAGAACCTCATTGTTTAATACTGCAGGAGTAAGTTTGGAAATTATTATGACATATGAGTAAAGTAAGTGGCAAAATTCTGTGCACTACTGCCTGCACCACTTGTTCAGTTCCTGTGTGTGTAAATGACCCAACCTTGATCACTGCCTCAATTTAACTGGGAGGGATCACCAAACATTAATACCTGTACTGTATTTGGCCAGTGTTTTGGTTTTCAGTAATGTTCAGCTATTTGTTGTAGCTGAAATTACACATCGTCCAGTGATGGAGTCGATGGCTGCCTCATACGTTATTACCAAACTTACTTGAATTGAAAATAACGTATGTTTTTTTAACTTTTTCTTCGTGATAAGTAATTTTTCTATTAGCTACCGTACTGTAAGTCTTAAGTATAGTTAATAAATGTTTGAATGTTCTTGGCTATCACTTATTACTCACTGTTTGGTTTAATGCAAGGGGTGGAGCTTTAAAACATTGCACTGGTTGTCACTAACTTGTACAGTGAAGTGCCCTCCTCTTTTGATTTATATGGAATAACATCCTGATACCTGGATACTGAGATGGTATTGTATTACTGTCAAGCAAGTTAATGAAAATAATGAATGCAGTCTTGGTAGTTAAGCCCAGAATACACAGAAGTACCGGTTACATAAGTTAATAACCTTATTTTGTGTTTGTGTGTGTGCACTGAACCTGGTTGGAGCAGGTAGTATTCAAAGGGCACATGATATCTGGGCTTCATGAATTTTATTTGTGTATTTTTTTTACACCATTTAAATTACTAGTAGTCAACATACTACAGTAATCAAATAGATGCATCATTAATTACACAAAAAAGTTACTCTATTTTTATACCGATTTATAGGATTAAGTTACAGTTATTGTAATGGTTGCTATTGTAGGTTTTCTCCATACTGTGGCTGTGGTATCAGTCTCATGTTTATCCCTACTGTATATTCTTGGATATTGTTTTGTTACCCCGTATGTTAGATGTTGTTGCTTCACTGTGCATGTTTTAAAAGACATACTACTAGCAAAACAAAAATCTGCAGCCCTGGGTCTTACGGCCTTCGCAATGATCGCTGACTGAGGCCATGTTCCTATGGTAAGATTGGTACTGTACTTCTGATTGTGTGATGCATTTTGTAACCAATGCGATGTATTCTGTATATCACGTAAAGTTAATACAGATAAATTAACAGGCATACTGTACATAAAAAATCCGTACGTTTGTGAGAATTCTTGGTCCGGTGCGTCATATTGTATAACACCATAAAGGTACAGTACAGAAGAAAAAATTATGGACTGTGCAATATGAATGGTTCTGTACAATTATAAAAAGAATTATATTAGGAAAAGTCTAAATTTAAGATTTGTTTTATATGACTCATTTAATAGCTACAACAAAATATATGTATATTTTTTAATACAGAACAGGTTAGGATCCCCTCTATGCTGAATAAAATCGTCTGGCATCTGCTGAATAAAATATTAAAAGTGGCATCCCATAGTGAAGGGGTAAAATACTGTACACTGCACCTGTAATAATTATTTCAAAGTTATCTTGTGGCTTTATATGAATATTCTCTTTAACACTGCAGTCTGGTTTTTGTGTTAATGTGTGTGTATTGTATACAGTTACATATATAGGATTGCAAAAATAAACATTCTTTGGTATCTAGAATTTGATTAACAGGGAAAAAAATTAGTTACAGTATAGTAGTAGCCCATTGTTCACTGTTTTGTAACCTCTCAGCAGTTGTGGTGTTTGTCTTATGGGCAGAAACATTATACAGTAATACTGTAGGCTCACACATGTTGGATGTTTGGTGATGGCCAGTTAGTGTGTGATTTTGTTTGGGTATTTGGTTTTATTTCTTATCAGATTTTATATGAATAATTGAAAAAAATGCAGGTTTGATTTTGTAGGAGAGTCAAACAAGAGTATGATTATGGCCTTTGATTTAACAAGTACTGTACTGTACTGTTGGTGTATTTGCATCATTGACAAGATTATTGGCATCAGCTGATGATTAGCCTCCTGCTTATTTCACCTGATTGTTAAACATCCCAATGTAAGGGAGGTTGGCTTAGGTTAGGTTAGCATTAGGGGGTTAATCTTAAGGTAAAATATGCTTGTGGGGACTACTGCACATCTTTGGTTGTCCGAGTATTGTACATTATTAATATAGTGATGTGGTTCATATTTTCAGCTCTTGTACACACATAAAGGAGAGTTTACCATAATTGTCATAGTTATTGATGTATGGGGCTCCCCTCTGAGCTGAATAAAATCGTCTGGCATTAGCCAAATAAAATATCAAAAGTGGCATTACCATAGCGAAGGGGTTAACAGTACCCACCATATTTATTGGTAAATTTTTACCCAATATATTTTATACGGAAATATTTGTAATACAGTATAGCAGGTGAGCAGGTGAATTACTGGATACTGTGTGCTATTTTTGGACAACTTTTATTACTGTATTAAAAAATTTGCAGTATGTATTATGAAATTCATTTGAAAAGCTTTGTTTGTAGTCTTGAATATGTTTGAATACTGTAGCAAATTTATTTTATTTTTAATCTATTTCTACTGCTTTTGATTGTATACTTTACTGTAATAGGTATTTATTTACCTTGTGTATATATGGTACTGTATGTAAATTTTTTCTTTTGTGTGTACAGCTACCAGTGAAGATAACTACTGTACAGGCACTTACCGGTACAGTACTACTAATGCACTAAAGTCCTGAGCCTTGTATGGGTTCT